TAGATTGTTAATGGTAAGCGCAAATTCTGACACTTTTGGACTTTTTAAAGTGCGCCATGAATGAACTAAACCAGTCTGTTCTGTGATCTCTTGAGAATCTCTTTATTTGGACAAAGTCACAAGCCAAAAATACATCATCATCATCATCATCAAAAACTACTCTGAAAAATAAAACTAAAGGGTGCCAAAACAACAAAACAGTTCTGACAGATTGGAAAGTGCATCAGTGAATTGAAACAAAGTGAATCGGTATTTCTTTTAAAAGTAATCACACACTGTTCAGTCCTGTGGCTTCAGGAAGAGTTTGACTCACATGAAACGTTAAATTCAGTCCAGTCGCGACTCAGAACAGGTTGAATTCAGAGGAGGAAAGAGCTGCGTATGATTATTATCCAAGAACAACAACAGTAGCGACAGAGCTTCACAGCCGGTTTGTCAGTGATTTAAAATAGTTTTCAATCAAAATTAACACACAGAAACAGATTCCATCATTTACAACAAATGCCAAGCGGATGTAAGTCGATGAAGAGTTTGTGAAAGTCATCGTTCTGCTTTTAATACTCGAGAATTTCCCTCTAAAGTCTTTAAATCATCTGCAGAGACTCAATCTTTTTTCAACAGGCAGCTTTAAAGGAGTTTCTACACATTCACTTTCTTGCTGAGAGTTGGATGAGAAGATTGACACCGCACGTGTGTTTAATAAATGTAACGCTACAGCCAGGACGTGGCTAGTTTAGCTTAGCATAAAGACTGGTAACAAGAGTAAACAGCAGCTCTAAAGTTAGCTAAATCTCATTTCAGAGGCTTCTGAGGTACTGGTGGGAGGATTTTGCTTGTTATTTGTCAGGTATACAAAGCTAAGCTAATTCGCTGCTGGCTAGGTGCAGCCAGGAGAGTGTTAGCTTAGCTTAACGTAAGGACTGCAAACAAGGGGAAGCAGTTTGCCTGGCTTGGCCTACCACTTCAAAAGCTCACTAATTGTCATTTAGTGGTCTTGGTAGGCAGATTTTGTTTGTTGCCAAACCTCATGATAAGCTCAGCTAATAAGCTATTGGCTAGCTACAGCCAGGAGACCATTAGGTTAGCTTAGCAAAAGCAGTTTGAAAACCCACTAATTGTCACTTCAGGGGGCTTTAGAGGTTCTGGTAGGATGAGTTTGCTGCATTGTTGTCAGATTTTATGATAGGCTAATCTAATGAGCTACTGGCTAACTCTAGTCAGGAGACCATTAGCTTAGCTTAGCATAAAGAATGCAAAAAAAGGAGAAACAGCTTGCCTGGCTCTGCCTAATAGCACCTCTAAAGCTTGTTAATCATCACTTTAGAGGTGGTGGTAGATGGATTATGTTTCATCTTTATGCTATGCTAAGCTAATTAACTGCTGGCTAGCTACAGTCAGGAGCTTAGTATAAAGACTGGGAACAAGGGGAAGTGGCTCTAATGCCTCTGTCTACTTTAGATCTAAGGCTCGATAATTATTACCTCAGAGGCTGTGGTCGGAGGATTTTGTTTGTCAGTTTTTATGCTAAGCTAGGCTAATCAGTTACTGGCTTGCTACAGTTGGGAGATTGGTAACTTAGCTTAGCATAAAGACAGGGAAGGAGAGGATCAGCACATCTACAGCCCGTTAATTGTCACTTTAAAGGTGCTGGTATTAGGATTTTGTTGGATTGTTGTTAGTTTTAATGCTAAGCTAAGCTAATCCGTTACAGATACACAAGAGTGGCGTCAACCTTCTGTTTTTGGCAGGAAAGAAATCGTGCGTATTTCCTGAAAATTTTTTTTTGTTTAATCCTAAATATATCAGCTTTTAAAAATCCACAACCTTTTGCATTTTAAGATTTTAGTAAATTACTTTTTTGTAAATAAAAGTATTTTATGGCATAAAAATAAACATGTTCCAACGTCAACAAAAAGAAAAAAAAAGTTCCCTTAACGTTTGAAGAAGGTCAGCTAGTTAAAGCATTCTTAAATTTATTTGATTTTTTTTTTTGCAACTTTACATGTTCATTGATTGAAATGACTTCATTTGGCCTTTAAAGTTCTCACATCTGACCCATAAACTAAAATAAATTATAGTTCAAACAACAATTGACCTAAAGCTGAGCTGATTAAAACCCTGATGCTGGAAAGAGGACGTCTTTTGGCACCTGTTTGTCTTAAACTGCTGCCTCCTTCTTCCCAGCAGGTCGTTCTCTCCGTACCAAAGTTCATATACGACGCAATTAAATGCTACAAACATGAAATTATTAAAGTTCAATTGTTAGTTTTCCCTAATGTAGAAAGTTAAACTGAAATACATCGGCACACTAATCGATTAAAATCCAGGGACGAAAGGTTAAAAAAAAAAAAACACAACGTAACGACTAAAAGAAGCTTCTGTTTAGGAGGAAAATGAACTAAATTGATATTTAAAGGACATGAAAATCAGTCTGCAGCGTCCGTAATGAGCCGGTAAATCAGATTTATCCGTTTAATTTTGAGGTTTCTTTTAGTCAGACAGCCAACAGAGGTGCTTTTCTAAGACTTTAACTAATTTAACTGCAACATCTGATGTCTGTCTGATCATTTCTAAGCAAAATTTGCAGGCGAATTATGTTTCTGACCTTTAATCACGGCTCGTGCCGGCTGCTCGGTTATGTTTTCACCTTCTCACCACTATGATGTTAATGTGACAGTAATGGCGGGGGATAATTGGAGGTTTTGGTTAATGTCGTCTCCGTGGGTTACAAGGCACTGATTTCTGTTGGTTAGATAATTAGGGGCTGTTGTTCCACTGCAGGAATTCGCGGGTCAGTTTAGAGTGGCACCTTTTCTCAGGGCTGTTTTTAAAAAGGAAGAATAAAGGACCTGCTTTTATTCAGGCGACCCTGAAAAACTCTCAACTAGAGCTTGATGCTGATTGGTTGAACTCTGAGAAAATTTACCAAATAGGCTAACATACTGCAACCATCTTGGCTCTGATTGGGTCAAACTGTGATCTAAATCACTGCATTCACAGGTTTGGTTGTATATTTTGTCACTTAAACTCACAAATCTTTGTCGGTTCTCTGATTTTATTCTACAAGATTTGACTAAAAATAGCGATTCTCGTCTTTCGCGGTGGTCCTCGGTGTGATCCAGCTGCATCTCCAGCGAGTCTCTCATCCGACTCCACCGTTCTGGACTTGCAACCGGTGATATTCTGCGATCGAACCGGTTCTCCGCCAGCTGCAGTCCAGGATAGAAGAGGAGGAAAGACTTGCTGTGGAGGCAGCTGGACGACATCAAGGACTTCCACCTGATCCTGAGACGAGACAGGCTGGTTAGCAGATACATAAAACGTTCCGTATTTGTCGTTTTGTTGCCCTAAAAATTGACATCTCGGTCATTTCACAAGTCTGATCCAAGCTGTAAACATTGGCGCCACCCTACACTCGGCCCTGAGTTCCTGCAGTGGACGGAGGATGTTTTCTGGTGAACTTCTCCTGGGTGCCGCTGTTTCCTAACTCTTTCCTACTCAGCTCTTTTTCTGCATCTTCACGTACGATCACGTTACACTTTTGTCCATCAGATATTTGCTCCGTTTCCTCTTATCGGAGCCCAGAAATGCGAATATTCAGTTGCGCATTTTTTGCGCATTAGGCCAAAGTCTGATGATTGGAAATGAGGATTATTTACTGCAGCATAATTGTCACAGTACCAGACTGCAAAGTTCGGCAGTTTGTGAGCCATCTGATCAATACTGATTTAGTAAACTGTGCGAGGAAGCTTCATTAAACGACGGTGTAACGTGATCGGACCTTTACTGACACTTAAAGCACTTTTTTAGCTGCATTTGTTTGGTTCTCATCAACTTTGGTTGCTGGAAATGATCAACTAAACTTATCATGAAACTTTTGTTCTCAACTGCTTCACATTGGCTGTTAAATCACAGAAAAATTAAGTTAGATGAATATATTAGTTTTTTGTTTTGTTTTTTTCCCCAATTATCCATTTTGGGCTCAAACATTCACTTGATTACTCCATCAAAGGCGTAATTTAAAGAAACGATTAGAAGTTATTCAGTAAAACTGACTAATAATTTTGAGTAATTTCTTCTAAAATCTAAAGATTTACTGTTTTTAGTTAACTTAAGCTTAAACTGTACTGTTTTTTGGATAATTTACGGGTATTTAAAGGAATCATGTTGCTCTGGAAACTTGACTAATTTGGGTAAACAACTGATAACTGGGTTGTTAAAGACAGTTTTAACTTGCTGCCTGCTTTACTGCACGTTGAAAAGCAGCGTTTAAAGGATAATTCTAGCATTTTTATAAGGTTTCCATCTTTTTTGAGTCAAAATAATAATCAGGGATTTTGCCGTCAGCTTGTTACAGCATTCTCGCTCGTATTTGCACCAATTCCAAACATTTTTTGTCACTTTTAATCATTTAAGCTGAAAAAGACGATAAAATTAAACTCCAGGTTTAAAAAACAAACAAAAAATAAACAATTATCCTTAAAGACTGTCTCTTAATTTGTAATAAACAAGGAAAAACGTTAGGATTTACTTTAATAATCAGTTAATAACAAGTTTGTCGAGCAAAATAATTCCTTTAAATGTCTTATAACTGTAGAGACAGATTTGTTACGGGCAATTAAATAATGAGCACATTTTTCGGTTTTAGAAGAAATGATATAAAATAACAGCAAAAGTCTCTTTACAGCTGCAATTTCTCACTTTCTGCCACTTCCAGCAGCAACTTCCAAACTTCCTAAAATTACTGAGAACCACCCAAATGCTGTGAGAACAAACCAGATATATTAGACGAGCAGATGTGAACGCTTTAAACAGATATGAGTGACCGAGCGGTGGTTCGGCGCCAAATAACGCAGAAACGAAGACGGGGTTTGAAATCATGGCTTGCTAGCGTGAACCAGTCTTGAATAATCTCACTTTCTCTCACACCTACTGACAAACCGACTTAACGGCGGCCCGGACAGGAAGTTTAAAAGGCGGGTTTCCACGGCGACCCACCTACATTTTCCCTAAAAATACGCCTCCCATCGATTCCCTTCTCCATCCACCTTCTGGCTCCGGAGGCCAAAATCAAGGCAACAACAGCGGGAAAGGCTGAATGCAGAGAAACACGACACAGCCCTTCTTCCTCCTCCGCCCGTCCTCCTTATTTCATCGTCTGGCGGAGCTTGCTGAGCCGCCAGCTGTGGCTGGTGAACATCTGTCGAGGGTCGAATCTGTACCTGATGGGGGATAAACAGTCCGTTAGTGCTTGTGTGTTGGAGGCAGAATGTGCAGGTGAGACGTAAATCTGACTACAGGTGAGAAAGCAAAGCAGAGAATCAAGACTTAAACGGTTTAAATTGACATATCATCTTCCTTGTAATCATTACTGACAAATTCCAGTAATTTTATTGTGAATTAGTGGAATTTTTACAGTTTTTAATCATGTGAATTATGAATATTTTAAAAACCCAGTTCAGTATCAGTTTGTCGACATATGTGGCATTTTCTCAGTCTTTCTACTTATGTACAACAATAATATCAGTATTGCTATTGACATGTTCAATATTTTACATTTTAGAATTACTACTTGTGTATATTTGTGTTTATTTGTATTATTTTACTTTATTCCTTAAATGTTTGCTGCTGTAATATTACACGTTTCCCCACTGTGGGATGAGTAAAGCGTTATCTTACGTTATTAAAATTCAGTTTTAGGGACAGAAGTTGAAATTTTGAATTGCCCCTAAGGGATAAATAAAGTTATTTGAATTGAAAATTGAACTAGAAAAGATTCTTTTAAAGTAGGTAAAATTCTGCTTACAAAACAGGATCAAATGAAAACTCTGGAGGTAAATTTGCTTCAATGCAGCACACTTGAGTTTAGCCACGTCTTGTTTTTCCAAGGGGCTCTGGTGCATAATTTAGCAGCTGGTTTCTGCTTTTTCCTTTATATCAAGCAGTAGAACGTGGTTGTTACATGAAGCTGAAGCTGGTCACATGTTTGTTGAAGATGTTTCATCTCGTCTAAAAACGCTTCTTGAGTTTTAATTGTCGGGGACTTTTTTAAATCTCTTGCTGGCATAATTAGAGTTCCCTGTTTGCTGGAAGTAGCTGATAAGTGGTGTTGTCGGCCTCCGATGGCCCCACGAGAGCTGTAATGTTCCATTATTTCAGATACAGGGTGAAACATTTTCAAACAAAAAGTCCAGCTGCCTTTGTTTTTAGTGCTACACCCTGACCTGGATGACTGAGAAACCTCAGACATAAATCCAAGAGGAGGAAGAGTTCAGCCAACTTAGACGTAAGTCATTAAAGCAGCTCTGCATGTTGTTCCACTGAAGTTTAACATAATTCAGGATATAAATATAAACTCATCAGGGCTTTTTTATGAGGTGAAATCTGATGGAATCCAAAACAACAGCTCTGCCATAAATTCTACTTTTCCTACTGCAACAAAAACTGAAAATATTTATTATTTAGGTGGTGGTACTGGACTGCTTTACATTTAAAGTACTCCTAATATTTAGTCACACACATGTATCACCTTTATGACGTAAACAAAAGCTTCTTAAAGTAGAATTAGAACCAGAGCGGTTGCATGGATCACATTAGATTTCACTGATGTGCCGATAAAGCAGCTTCAGACAAGCACCTAAACAAAGCTGATTATTTTTGGCTTCTTCAGTTATTCAGGGTCTTAAAACTAACCTCTATCTCGAGGGTGTTTTTTAGTGAAAGGTTAAGCCTCGACGGCGCTGAACTGACCTGGAATCGTAGACGCCGGGGGTCCGACACGACTGCCCGGAGCAGGACTGCAGCATCATCAGCCGGTGGTTCATCTTCTCCAGGATGTCGTGGTCGATGGTTTTAGCGATGTTGCTCAGCTGGTAGGGGTCCGCTGTCACATTGTAGACTTCTACAAACACCTACAGGAGACGGATGTCTAGTTAAAATGTGGAACTAAAGACAATAAAACATGCAAGAAGCATTTTCCAACAGTTCAACAATTTTGAAAATCAGCACATAGTGGAGGCGGTTCGTTTTGCTAATTTATGGTTCCTGGTGACCTCCTGTGACCAGGATTTAGTTTCCCCTACCTCATTATAGATCTACCAGCTACCCTTTAGACACACAGGTGTATTACATCCTCACTGGGAGGAGTTGTGATGAGTAGGTCGAGACGTGATAACGAAAAAGCACCATGTGATTCTTACTTAAATTGAGGATAAAAGAGCCAATCTCATACTAAACAGGCCACGCATATACAAAATAAATTGCCGCTATAAAAGATGAGAGATATAAAGCCGATAGTATACCAATAAAAGACCGAACTCTTCATTTAAAAGAGAGAAAAGTGTCCAATGTATGGAAGTGCAAATAAAACTAAGGGAATAATTAATCCTAAAACAAGCACAAATAACCCTCTAAAGCAAACCAGCAGGTTCAACAGACATGTCTTTAAAAAACATTAAAAATCACAAAAATTCCACCATTTATCAGTGCCAGAAACTAAAAACAGAAGGAATTTGTAGATTTAGAACTTTCCAATGATTCTTGAATTCTTTTTCTAAGCTTAAAATGAAAATAAAAATTTTAAAAAACTTTAAAATGTAGAAAAAATGAACGTTTTGCTTTCACTAGATTCTGTAAAAATAACCTAAAGTTGCACGGCTGCAGCCAAAAGACAAATAGACTTTATATTGTTGTGAAAAATGAGCCCATGGACAAACTGCTCCAGAGGGTTCAGAAACTTCAGCTATAGAGGAAATTAAGAAAACTTTTTCCGTACGTCGTTGTCGTCAAACTCGCAGTACTGCAGGTTGGCAGAAGAGGCCACCGTTCGCACGCAGGCGTAGGTGTTGTTGTACGAGTCCTCGCACACGCAGTCTGGGAAACACTCCTAAGCAAAGACAGAGGACATAATGTCAGTTTTGTTTTTTTTAGCTGCACCAATATTATCACAGCCTCGTTTAGTTCCTCTTTTCGTACCGACACTCCCGGTCCCAGCAGAGGACAGGCCGGATCGGAGACGTTGCTTCCTTCACCTTCGTACTCCACCAGGATGTCTGTTCTCCAGCTGCTGGCATTCATCTTCCCCTCCTGGTAACACACAAAAAAAACATGACATATATATGATGACAACCACCCATCAAGTACAACTCCCAGCTTTATCTTTCTCGTTAGCCCAGCTAATCCTAAGGCCAATTAACTTTATCTTTGTAATGCCGAGTGTTTTTTTAATTCTTTATTAAATCTTTATTATGTCTTTATTTTTAGCTTTATTTCTCTTTGTGATTCTTGTCTGTGACCTCATCTGTTCCTAGCTGCTGTGACATGCACATTCTTACAGTTTAGCTTGTCTTAATTGCCAGAATTAAAGTAAAAAGAACCATGTGTGTTTATCCTAATGATGTCATTTAGCATTAATCAGACATCGTAAAAGAAACACAGGAGCAGAGAGATCTCACCATAACGGGCAGGAAGGACATCCCGTCCATCTGCGTCTTGTTGACGTCGTAGCCGGCGATGTCCAGGATGGTCGGACCCAGATCGACGTTCGCCACCAGCATCTGACAACACAAAACACTCGCTTCAGTCAATTCTGCATGAAACACAAAATAAGAGGCAGAACAACAGAACAGCAGAGTCGATGTTCTTGTGGAAAAAAGAAAAAAGAAACCTGCAAAATACACGTTGTTCTCTATAAATGGTGCAGAAACCAATACCATATGTGGGTCTATCAACACAGTAATTGAAATGACGAAGGAGTTTGTTGTCACATTAATAATCAATACAGTGTCTGCTACTATAATGTGATAAATATATATCATGTAATTTAACTTGCAGCTCCATCAGCACAAAGTTTCCTAAAGACTAAAGCTGCAGAATCTGACAGCAAGTGTTCAGATAATTGTAAATACAAATGTAGATGTAGTGTTTTTTTTGTGCATCAGTGAATAATATGACATTTCTTGTTTTGTATTTGTATGTTTTTTTAGTTAATAAGACAAATTAAAGATTCTGTTCTGGTCTCACTGATTGAATTTCTGCTTATATATTACTGCTTGTTGTAGTTATTCTCAATTTAGTTGTGTTGGATTCATTTAACAGATTTTATACAGTCAACAGCAAAGACTGAGAAACTATGTTTTCTAATGTTACTTGATGCAAATGCACAGTTATTATTTACACACTGGATTGATAAATACTGAGAACTACAGTGTACGATCGATCAGATTTAGAAAAAAGCAATCTCGCGTCATCGCTGGTGGAAACAGTCAAGCTGACAGCTGATAATAAAAATATAAAATAACTGAAAGAGTAGTAAATATCAGAGAGACATTATGTCAGATTTAATTAGGCCTTTATGCATTACTTTGTAAAAAAATTAAAATTTAACCGATTATCCTGACACACCTGACCCATAAATAGAAAGAAAAATCAGAAGATCCACATAAAAACTCGTCATGTCACTGCTAAACATTCAAACACAAACATTAAAACATATGTACAGCTTTAAATCACACACTTCACTCTGATATTCTCTATTCCTCATCACTTAGTTTTGTCTCTTTTATATTCCTGTAAGATTTTGTCTAATTCAAATCACGCCACATAACTACATCCAGTAAAAATCAGAACCTGATGAAACTTCCAGCAGCAGTAATTACTGTTTAAATCAGCCAGAAAAGCCGTTTGACGTTACAGAAAGATCCCTCGACTGAGCTAATGTTTCCATCTAACTTCACTCAGCAGCCAAACCGCATCAGAACATCTGAGGTTTGTTCTGTCAGAACAGATTAAACTCCTGATTTGTCACAGTTTTGCTGCACTTCTGCCTCAATTAATTGAGTTTGTGGTTTGCGTGGGGGAAACTGTTGTTGAACTTTTTCCAGTAAATAAAGCAGCAGCTCATGATTTATGCCCAACAAAGAAGTAAACACAGTATTTAAAGCATTACAAGACCGATTCAATAATAAACATATATAAACATTTTTAGAATACACGTATAGAAAGTGAATTTAGACGATTACAAATACAAACAGATAAGAAATAATTAGATGTAAAATTTGGAATTTGCATTTTTTTTTAGATGTAGATCTCTCTTTCTGCACAAACAATGAAAATTTGCTCGTTTAAATGACAGTCTGCAGCACGAACACAGGCCACAAGCACATTTTTTGCTGTACTTACCTACACTTGTACATCTACTGAGTTGTGCTGCACGTGTCTTTAGCTGCTAGTGCAAGAACTTTCTGCTATTTTTTGTAAAATCACACAAAATGCAGGTTTTAAATGCATCTATCTTTGATTTCTACGTAGCATAGGAAGTCAGAACAAAGCTCAAGGTGTCCAAATAAAGTTTTTCCCTTTTATTTATTGCAAATCTTTGCTGCTTGGACTCTAAAGTGTAAAGAAAATAAAGTTTAAATTCACAGTGTAACAGTGTGTGTGTCTGTGTGTCGGTACCTGGCTGGTCTGGTTGGGTTTGATGTTGGGTCCTCGGACCATGAGAGGAACCCTGATGTCGAACTCATAGAGCTGCCTTTTATCCAGGGGCAGAGAGAACTGACCTGGAAAACGTAAAACAGATCTTTTTCGTGTGATGTTTTATCACCTAATGTGACACATTCATGTTGAGAAAAGCAGCAGGATTTCAAAGCCCACGTCCGTACCGGTGTGGTAGCCGTTGTCAGAGGTGAAGAAGATGTAGGTGTTGTCCAGTTCACCTCTGGCCTTCAACCTATCCACCAGTTTCTCCACCAGGTCGTCCACCGACAGCAGAGTTCGCCACCTGCAGGCCAGAGGAGCACATTACATAGAAGAGGGTAAATTCACATCACAGACGGAGCTTTGATTTGTTTTTTCTCAGTCAAAAAAAGAGGAGAAATGATAATAGAAAGGAGGTGCTATGAAAGGAAGTGAGGGTGTGGAGGTGAAGCGACTGACCGTTTCCTGAAGGCATCATCCAGAAACTGAACGGACGAGTTGGTCATCGGAGTTTTAGCCTGTCTGATCAGCCAGTGTTTGTCCTGAGGAGACAAAGAATGGAAGCTGTGTTGAGTCTCGAGCCTCTCTTGGACCAAAACTCAGCTCTCCCGACAATATAATGACTTTTTATCCTTTTTCAGACACATAATCGTCTTTAAATTCAGACTGATCTATCACAGTGATGGAGAGAGCCACAGCAAACACAAGATATTTGTCCTAAACGTGAAATTGGACAGTACAAGTGTCGTATAATGCACTAATTAACAAAACACTAAATCTAAATTAACAGCTTAGTCATTAAACACTAAAAAATTCTGCTCAGGTGTGACGATATTCTAACAGCAGCTACTTAAAGTCCCTTATTTAACATGGTTTTCTCTGTAGCTCTTCAAGTACAACAACATAATGTGACACTAATAGTCTTTATAACTTTCAGCACAATTACACACACAAAGTGCGTCCTATAATTTGGGAACCATGACTCTTCATGTGTTAAAAAAACTGGCAATGACAGATTTTTGCAAACAGTAAAAGCAAATTTAAACATCCTGTAACAAATTATTAATAACTGCAGCTTAAATTATGTGTGGCCAATGTGAAATCCTAATCAATCCCGTCTCCACATCAGGAATAATTATAATAATCAGAATTATTTTTATTTAGATAACTTCTGAGGAAAGACTCCAACAAACAGCCAGAAGCAACAAACTGAACTTCAGCTGTTAGTCTCAGTTTTACTCATAGAAAAGTCACATCTTATGGACATTTCAGTTTGTAATCGATGTAAAACGAAAGGAAAGTTAATGAGAATTTATGATTTCAGCACAAAAACTGAGTCTTTCGCTCTCTGTGATGTTTTTTGGACCAAGACTGCAGCAGAAATGTGGAAAAAAAGCCTCAAAAATTCTCATTAACAAAAAGGAGTTCAAGTCTCAAAGAGTCTTTTTTTTCTTTTTTATTCCAGTAGGAATGTTTTGCAGCTTCTACCTTCCCGTGGACGTTGAAGTTGGGATCTCTGGGGGCCTTGGTGGTGTTGTAGTGGCTCTGGTACTGAGGGGCTGCCGTCCAGGGGGAGTGGGGGGCCGGAGTGGAAACCATCATGAAGAAGGGCTGGTAGCTGGATTTATACTGGAGGAAGTCCAGAGACATGTTGGCCTGGAAGAGAGAGACGGAGATTCTCATAAAAAATATGAATTTTCACTGATTAGTTAACGAGTTTATGATCAACGGATTTGATTTGATTTGACTTTTAACTTAATTTATCAAGACAGAAAGAAAAATGTCTGGATCCAGCTGCTCAATCATGAGAAATAAAACCAAAGGATTGTCGCACATCTGTTTTATTTATTCTGATTCCTGCTCATCGTCTAACTTGCAAAGATTATTAACGCTTTTGTACTTGACCTTCACTAGCTCACTAACTAATACATTGGCAAGTCTGTTTGAAAGAAATGTCAGTATTATCATTTTAAATTAAATATATTTCGCTTTCGGGGTGAAAAAAGCAATATAAAGAGACATTTTCACACTTTTTAATGATATATGTAAAACAAAACTAAGAAATATCTGATGAATCGATGATAAAATAATCATAATTTTCAGCTTTTATTATCATTATTCTTCCAAAATGGCAAAAAATACAATTACGCATGAAGGAAGAAATATTTGCTTGTATTTTTTCTTGAAGCTTCACAACTAACATCGACTATAAAGTTATAAATGTACAGAATTAAACGTGTCTCACCAGAACGTCTGTCAGATAGTCTTTGCTGTACTCGGCTCCGTGTTTCTGGGCTTTTCCATTCACAGACAGAGTGTAGTTGTAGTATTTAGAGTTCTTCTCCTGGAAAAACAGAATAAAACG